GGGCCAGAGGAGAGAGATACGGGCCAGAGGAGAGAGATACGGGCCAGAGGAGAGAGATACGGGCCAGAGGAGAGAGATACGGGCCAGAGGAGAGAGATATGGGCCAGAGGATGACCAATAGCACACACTTACACAATTCCAGAGGGGGTGGGGTGGTGTATAGAGGAGGGGGTGGGGTGGTGTATAGAGGAGAGGATGGGGTGTTGAAAGATTGATTGAAAACAAAACTCAGACATGGCATGGGCATTAGGCAGTATCATCAGGTGTACAAGAGAGCTGGATCTGGGGGGATGTACAGGGTAGGGTGAAGAGAGAGGGCTGTACCTGAAAGCATGTGCCACCAGTTGTTGTAGAGCACACATTCCAGCAGAGAATCGTGCAGACACGCGTGCAGGGACACATGCAGGTGCGCATGCAGAGACACATGCAGACACACATGCATGCATACATGCAGCCAGAATGACGCATGAAGCACAACCACTGGCGACTTGGAGGAAGACAAAGTGAGACAAACAAGACAATTCAACAAACACACTCATTGAGACAGCAGGCACGAAATGACTAGCACGTACCAGGAGCTGCCCTGCAAGCCAACTACTGAGAAGAGAATTCACATAAATTAGCCTGAGCAATTAATATTGAACATTTGACAGCAGCCGGAATTTAACCGTGACTTCAAATCAAATCAGCAGGACGTACCAGCAGCTGCAAGCCGGTGCCCATTGACAAGCGAAACGCTTTTATACTCTCATCATTCAGCATTAGACATTTGTCAGCGACAAGATTCGAACCAGTCACCTTAAGTTGGCAGGACGTACCAGCACCTGAAGCCGATGCCCACTGAAAAGAGAAACGCCAAGCTTGCGAGTCTGAAAGGAGAGCGGAGAGAGGAGAGACTGGAGAGAGAAGAGTGAGGAGAGAGGAGTGTGAGGAGAGAGGAGGGAGTGGAGATGGAGGAGTAAAAAGAGGGAATGAGAACAGAACGGATGACGTCTCAGAAGCCGGAATAGACAGAAGCTATCGTGGAGACGAAATACAGCAAGGAAACAAGTGCGTCCAGGCACAAGGGTTATCGGTTCACGTGTGACGCGATGCAAGCGAACAGAACAGGAGGGAACGGGGAGAAAGGAGGCGTCGTTAGAGTTGAGGCTTGCAGGAGAGAGCAGAAGACGGTGGGCATGAAGATGGGAGAGATACGTGAAAGAGACAGGAAGTCGAGGCTCCTAATCAGAGGAAGAAGAGGGAAGAGGCAAGGGACGAAGACGATTACACGAGGAAAAACAAAGTCGGAAAGGGCAAGGGAAAGAAAGGGGAAGTATCACAGGGGAGCAGGAAAGCAGATAGAGGGTGATGGAACGGAACTCACGCTGAGAAGGGATCGGATGAGTTCCAGGCATGGTCGGCGGCAGCAGGGACGCGCGGGGGCATTTGGGAGTGGAAGGAAGCTGGGCAGAATGTGGGAGGAAGGTGGGAGGAAGCATGAACGAAGGTGAAGGAAGAAGGGAAGAAGGAAAAGAAAGGGCACAACAGGGAGATAAGAAGGGATTGTTAACGGGAACAGTTGATAATGAGGTGGGCAGGTGGCATGGATATGAGCAAGAAAGGGTATGCTGAGCTGGATTGGGTTGTGATGGAGGTGAGTGCAAGGGGCCAGTACAAAGGTATGTACCATGCTGCTTCAGAGGAGCTACTAATTTCGTTCTAGGCTGTCAAAACTGCCGTGTCTGAAAACTGAGAATTTATTTCCTCACGCCTAATTAACTCTCGAAAGCGACTCCAACATTTCTGTGCCCGTGCAAAAAGAGCCTGGTGGGCACTGACTGGAGTAGTACTGCAAACGATGCATTACCAGAATCATCACCGAGATGAACACATACTGCAGTTGCACCGAGTTAGTAATACTGCAAATGATAGTACTGACTGTGTAGTACTGCAGTCAGTACAATCACCAAGATGCATTACCAGAATCATCACCAAGATGCATTACCAGAATCATCACCGAGATGAACACATACTGCAGTTGCACTCAATACAATCCCACTCAGTACCATCCCAGCTAGTAGTATTCCACACAGTAAATTCCCATCCGGTACAATCCCACTAAGTACAGTCTCACTCTTACAGTCCCACTCACTCGTTGTCTGTGCTTATGAAAAAGAAGTCAGAAGAGTCACCAGTGGGAAGAAGTGGCATGGCATGGGCAGTATCACGAACATGAGAGCTGGACGGGTGTACAGGGGTGGAGAGGGGTGCTACGTGTTCGTTGCAATAGACGCATGGCACGGCATGGACAGCATGAGGTACATGAGAGCTGGGGGGGTGTAAGTGGCGGGGAAGGGGGAGAATGCGGGGAGAAGAATCTGTATTAGCCTGAGAAGAGGCACGGCATGGGCAGTATGAGGTACATACGCGCTGTGGATTGTCTAGGGGAGGGGGGAAGGAATGCTGGGGGTTGGATTCAAAAGCTGGGAAGTATCAGGCACATGAAAGCTGGGGGGATGTACAGTGGTGTAGAGGGGTGTTGCGGGTTTGTGGCAGAAGAGGCATGTCATGGGCAGTGTCAGGTCAGGCGAACGAGAGCTGGCAAAATGTTGGGTACGGGGATGGTGGGGTAAGGGGAGGCGAGGAGTGAAGGGGGGAGAAATAATTGATGGGGATTGTACCTGAAAGCATTGGCCACCAGTTGTTGTAGGTCACACATCCCTGCAGAGACACATGGCGACAGGACAGGAATACACATGATGCACAACCATTGTTGAATTCGAAGAGGAAGGAAACAAGCAAGCAAGCAAACAAAGAAACAAACAAACTCACACAAGAAAACGGTCGGCACGATGTGAGCAGCATGGGCTACCATACCAGCAACTGCAAGCCAATGCAGGCGATGCACACCGAGAAGGTGAACTCCCCGAGAAACGAGAAACACTCCCCGAGTCGACTCAGCATTAAACAGTTTAACCTTTGACAACAGCAAGAATTGAACCCGTGACTTCAGAACCAGACGGCACTCGGTGGTTGAGTAGCATGACGTACCAGCAGCTGCAAGCCGATGCCCAGTGAAAAGAGAAACGCCAAGCCAGCGAGTCTGAGAGGAGAGAGGAGAGATTGGAGAAAGGAGAGAGAAAGGAGAGAGAGGGAGGCAAGAGGAGAGAGTAAAGATAGGCACTAGAAAGAGAATGAATAGCATCTCACAGAAGCAAGAGAGCAAGCGCGACCAGGCACAAGGGCTATCAGTTTCCCGTGTAAAACGGTACAAGCGGACAGCACAGGAGAGAACGTGGAGGAAGGAGGGAAGGAGCAGAAGAGTTGAGTTGAGGCTTGTCGGAGAGAGCAGATCCGACGGAGATAAGGGCAGGAGAGACAAGCGAAGAAGACTGAAGAGGCAATGGGAAGGAGAAATAAGAGGCATGGGAAGGAAAAGGGACAGGGGAGCAGGAAAGCAAGTAGAGGGTGATGGAATGAAACTCACGCTGAGAAGAGACTGGGAGGTGGCAGGGCGGCAGCAGGCATGGTCGGTGGCAGTGGGAACGCGAGGGGGAAGTGGGAGAGGATTGAGGGCAGCAGGCGGAAGGAGGGAGAAGGAGAGAGAGGACGGAGGGACGAAAGGGGAAGGAGGGAGAAGGAAATGCACAGACGCAGCAGGGAGATAAAGAGGGATTGATGAAGCAGACGGTTGGTGATGAGCTAGACAGGTGGCATGGCATGGGTAGGAGCGAGGGAGGGGAGGGTATGGTGATTCTGAGGTGCCGGGATGGATGATGATGGTGAGGTGGGCAGGTGGACAGGTGGCATGGTTATGAGCGAGGAAGGGGTATGGTGGGTTGGGGACTGGTGCGAGTAAAGGGATTTGTTGAAGGGGACGGATGGCCACGACGTGGCCAGGTGGCATGGGTATGAGCGAGGGAAGGTTATGGTGGTGGGTTGGTATGCAGTGATGAAGGGGAGTAGAGCGATTGTTAAACGAGAACAGCTTTCATGTCGACACTGCCTGGAGTGCTTAAAGAAAGGGCAGAAAACAGATATTAGAAAGTGTTGAGCTTGAGGAAACTCACCATGGTAACTTATCAGTTGAGAAAGCCTTACCGGTCATGTTGACGCGCCTATAGCGACTCTCGCAGTCGGGTTGACGGTAACTTGAAACTTCTGACTCGAGTCAATGGACTGACTGACGGTGGTAGAACTGAAATTTCTGCGTTCAGGCGAATGTTGGGAAGACACCAGGAGGAGGCACAAGGAAATAAACTGAACGTTCCTTTTTTAGAAGCTGGATACAAGGAACACCAAGACGAGGAACGGCTGTCACTTGAGTCGACTAAAAAGGTTCCAGGGAGTTCATTCACTCACTCAAATCTACGGGTGCTCACTCAAAACACACCAGGGAAATTAAAAGCCTATAATCCAGAAACGCGGAGACTAAGAATGGTTATCGAATGCGCAAAGGCATGAAGACGTATTTCCTGATGGCTGTGGAAGTAGCTCCCGCAGCGGGGTTGACGGTAACTTCAAACTTCTGAGTTGAGTCAACGGACTGACTGATTGTTAACTGAAGTTTCCACGTCCAGGCGAACGTTGGGAAGACAACAGGAAGCACTATGAAAGTATACTGAACGCTCCTTATTTATACGATGGACACTGAAACACCAAGACGAGGAAGGTTACAAAGAGTTAACTCATTCACTCGACTCTACCAGTGCCTGGAATCCAGAAACGCGGAGACGAAGAATGGTTATTACAGCTGTGGAATGAAGAACGAAGATAAAGACTCAAAGAACGATAACTGTGGAAGTAGCTTTGTATGTGGGCACTGGCACCTATGGCTGCTACCGCTGAATACTTGTTACAGCTACTGCTTCTGTCCGCAGCATGGTTGTTCGGCTCATCATGGCGCAGCCTTGGGATTGTCGCACAAAACAGACGGCTGGCAGTCCAACGAAACTTGCGCAAACAACCTTCGCAATGCCTCAGAAACATATTTCGTTTATCCTCACACTGAACCCCTCTCAAGTCAACCGTGTGTGTTGGGCTCTGGCTGACCCACCTGATGATTCCAGCATGCGTATGATTGGTGGAGCACGAATGGGGGGAGAGGCGGAACCATGTGGGGAGGCCTGGAGATTAAGGGAATTGGAGATTGGTGGGGAGGGAGGGAGGGAAGGAGGGAGGGCGGAATGTATGGATGGATTGTATTTTAGGGCAAATAATGGCTGGCGGAGCATGAATGGGGGGAGAGGCGGAACCATGTGGGGTGGCCTGGGGATTGGGTGAATGGATGGAGGAAGGAATGTCGGAACGGAATCTAAACCCAAAACCCATGTGGGGAGGATGGCCGTGGGAGGGAGGGAGGGAGAGAGGGAGGGAGGGAGGGAGGGAGGGAGGGAAGGAGGGAGGGAGGGAGGGAGGGGGGGAGGGAGCGAGGGAGGGAGGGAGCGAGGGAGGGAGGGAGGGAGGGAGGGAGGGAGGGAGGGAGGGAGGGAGGGAGGGAGCGAGGGAGGGAGGGAGGGAGGGAGGGAGGGAGCGAGGGAAGGAGGGAGGGAGGGAGGGAGCGAGGGAGGGAGGGAGGGAGGGAGGGAGGGAGGGAGGGAGGGAGAGAGGGAGGGAGCGAGGGAGGGAGGGAGGGAGCGAGGGAGGGAGCTAGGGAGCGAGGGAGGGAGGGAGGGAGGGACGAGGGGGGTTGCGGAAGGAGGGAGGGAGGGAAGAAGGTGGGGAGGGAGGGAGAAAGGAGGGGGGGAGAGGGGAGGCACCGGGGAAGCTAGCATGCCAGCTCAGTGATTGCTCTTTGGTCAATACCCTATTCAACCGTTCTGGAACATAAAGCCCCTCACATAGCCGCATTTACACGAACTTTTTGGAAACGCCCTGAGCATAGCCATTCCCACAGCACCCATTTCAGACCTGCGTCACCCGAACGTACGGCTCCGAATTTGCATCCCCCAACCTGTACCCCCGAACCTACCAGAGGTCCGGGTCCTGCAGCTGCACGGCGAGCATGGCAGCTGTCAAGATCTGCAATGTTGCCACCTGGCAGTTTGAGTGTGGGGGGACTTCCAAGGGTGAGATGGGGGAAGAAAAATATAATCCCAAGGGTAGGATGGCGGAAAGGAAAAAGTATTGGAGTTTAGTAGGGTATACACGTACGGTGATAAGAGAAATAAGAAAATTCGAGAAAATAAGAGTTTGATTTGTACTCGCCGTGTCCGCACAAATCCCGTGACGACAATCATTATTCAGCAGACGATGCGATTGGCTTAATAACGGGGATAAGGAATGTCATTATAACGGGGATAACGACTACCACCTATAAGAAAGTTGTGCTGAATTCAAAAGAGTGAAGCTCGTAGTCACGCTGAGCGGCGACGTGCAGCAGCACCCGAAGAGTGGTCATCTTCGGGGTAGGGGAGAAGGTCTGGAAGAAGTCAACTCCGTGTCGCTGACTGAAGCCTCGTGCAACGTAACGCGCCTTGAAGACAGGCGGAGAACCCGGCGGCCGCTTCACCCTGAAAATCCACATGCCATCGACTTCGCCCCAGGAGGGGGAATTGCGTCGACGTAAGTGCCGGTGGACTTCCAGGATGCCATCTCTGCGTCCATGGCTGTCTGCCACTGAGAGGAGAAGGGACCCGTAATCGCCTCTGCGTAAGAGCGCGGGGTCGGGATGTCTGGTGCATCCGGGTCTCCCTCAGGTGCAATCAGCATGGACACGAGAACAGGTACAGCAGCTGCAAAACACTCAAAGTCCTCCTGCCTATCCTCAAGGACGTCCGTGCCAAGAGCACACTCACCCCCGACGGACGGAGGACAGGCAGACTCAGACTCAGCAACAAGACTAGCGGCGTAGTCGAGACTGTTGGGTGCAAATTCACATTGCACGACATCCTGCCGTCTGTTTGTACGAGTATGCGTGTGCGAATGCATTTAGGTGTGAATGGAATGTTTGTGTGTTTGTTTGCTTTTGCAATTTTTGCTTGATGCATTTGCAGGTACTCACGCAATGTGCGTTTCGGCACAACATTGTATGCGCTATGAACAGTGCAAGCAGAAAGGACGAGCTCGCAAAGGAACCCAAGATGGAAGCTTTGCAGTTCGATTGAATTGATTGCGCAGATTCAGTTCTATCCAACTCGAAATTGTACTGTTTTGTTTGGTTAACTATAGTGTAGCAGGGCAGGCACTATAAGGGTACAATTTAGGTGAAGGTTGGATGTTGTTTGTCTGTATCTGCATGCTACAGGGCCAGGGGAAACCAGCGGAACCAGCATTTGGCTGGTTGGGCAAAGACAAAACAGGTTCTGTTTTTAGGACCTGAACCTGGTTGTTGTTTTCCCAGGTTGGAAAAACAGAACCAGAGGTTGTTTACCAACCTACCACCAGCTGTTTTGTCCAGCCAGGTTGGTTCTGTTGCTTGGAATTATTTGGGATAATCCCTGGTTGTTCTCAGGTTGATTCCCAAGGTCCTTGCTAGCTAGAACTATTTATTTCTTCTCTGTTTGTACCTGGATATAGACAAATTGATTCAAGCGAATTCCATCCTTGCTAGAATTTCGTTTCTACGCGGTGCGACGGAGGAATGCCACCCGAGTCAATGCTAGTACGCTAGCACTACGACGCTAGGCCAACGCTGTCCGAGCCATAACTTCGTAATGGCAGAACCTTTCGCGAGGCAACATGGGTCATTTTAAAGCTCTTGGAGCGAGCTTCGATATAGGAAATTCTCATCTTAATCAGATCGACAGTCTGCACGATACGCTGCGCGACGTTCAAGGTACTCTCGCTGTTTTGACTAAGTCCCTCTTGATCTCTCTCTCTACAAACTCGGACCCGAGGATAGGGGCTGGTCTTGTACCAGGCACCCAAGGACCCTTGGAGGTGACCCCGAGGAGAGGTTTTAAGTTTGATTAAGTCATAAAGGCCTGAGTTTATTAGGCCCTTACACCAACAAGCTGGTATCAGAGCTGTGTTATAGCGATCCTCGTTATAGGTAGCTATGGCGGGAAAGGATTCGGCGGGAGCTAGGGAATCTTCAGCCCAAGATCGTAGCGGCAGCCAAGATTCTTGTGTTTCGGTGACAAGGGGAGCGCGAACAAACCAGGGCTCGCTGATCAAGGAGGTGCTGAAGAACTTCACCGTCGAGAAGTTCAATGGTGAGGGCTATGATGATTGGGCCTGGAAAATGCAACTACGTCAGATTGGATTGCTGAAACTAATGATTGGGGAGGAGCCTAGACCGAGTGACCCCGCGCTGTAGGCAGAATGGGACGAGCGCTCCTCGGCTGGCTACTACTTAATGTCGCAGAGTTTGGAGCTGAACCAGCGACACCACGTCATGCACCTGCTGCCGGAGGATAAGTGTGGTCCGAAGGCGTGGACCGTGTTGAAGGAGCTGCACGCCTCTACCTCCGTTGTCGCAACATTAATGCTGGAGAGGGAGCTGCCGCATTGCGCTTGAGCGAGGGAGAGCCGGTGCAACCTGTTTTGGAGGAAATGCGTGACCTCTACGCAAAGTTGGCGACCGCGGAAATCACCTACCCGGAGCAGACCAAGTGCTTGAAGATGCTCTCACTGCTGCCAGAATCGTGGCTTCAATTCACGAGCGGATTGAGCCTGCCGCAGAACCAGAGCTTGTGGACGCTCGAGTGGGTGCGGACGAAGATTCTGGAGGAGGACTTCCGTTGCCGCCAACTGAGGGGTGGAGACGACGGCAGCAGTGGCTACGGGATGCAAGGGAGCCAACGTGGCAGAGGACGTGGCTTCGGTGGTGCTGGACGCGGTGCAAAGAAGGACGACGACTCCAACGACCAACAAGGAGGTACCTGTTGGGGTCGCGGTGCGAAATCTGGACGTGGGGGCAAGTCGGGTGCTGGTGGCAAAATGGAAGGGAGTTGCTGGTATTGTGAGAAGGAGGGGCACCCCTGGTTTTTGTGCTATAAGAAACCCGATGGATGGACCCCCCAGAATCGTCACCAGGATGGCGGCGCGCGGAGGAACCAGAAAAACGGCTCGAACATGGTCGCCGATTCGTCCGACAACAACCCAAAAAAAAAAGGCAACGGCGGTGCGGAGAAGAAGAAGGAGCGCATCGCGGGCCAGTTCTTCCATATTGGAGAGCAGGGGGAGCAAGGAGACGCCTCTGCCAAGGTTGGAGCAGAGCTGCACCCCCTGGACAATTGGGTGTTGGACACGGGCGCTGCTTGGATGATGACGCCGCGCAAGGACCTGCTGGACGACGTACGCACTGCACCGATCAACGAGGTGTGCTCCGCCTCGGGACACGCGCTGAAGGTGGCTGGTGCGGGAGGAGCTGCGTTGTAGGGAGCGGATGGCAAGCCGGTGGTGCTGCACGACGTTCTCCTCGTTCCTGATCTCAAGGCCAACCTCATCTCCCTCCGTAAGCTTGCCAAGGCTGGGGTGAGCACTAGCACGGATGGGGCTCGCACGTACAAGGGGCAGCTGGGCAATCGGGTGCTTTGGGATCAGCACGAGAGCAAGGACGTGTACAGATCCATGTGGCAGCTGCCGGCGTTGGCGTGGCACAGTGGGGGGCAGGCTGGAGAGGGGTCTGCATCCCAGGGGGAGTGCAACGCCGTTGGAGGGGTTGGTGTGAAAGTGTTGGCCAGATCTGGGGAGACGGATTGGGCAACGGCACACCGACGCTTGGGGCATGTGGCAATGCCCTTGTTGAAGCAGTTGGAGAAGGATGGAGCCGTTAAGGGTCTGGAGCTGAATAGACAGCCACCCGATGATAACTGTGAAATATGTTTGCTCTCAAAGTTTACCCGTTTTCCCTTCCATAGTGTGGCTGGCAGGAGCAAGAAGCCTTTAGAGCTGGTTCACATGGACTTGGTGGGGCCGCTGCCGGTGCAAGGGCACAAGGGGGAGCGGTATTTCCTAACCATTGTGGATGATTGGAGCAGACCCATGTGGGCGTATCCGCTGAAGCAAAAGGACCACGCCGCCTTCACGATACGGGAAGATTGGCTGCCATTCGTGGAGAAGCAAGCGGAGTGTGTGGTGAAGCGGATTAGGACAGACCGGGGTGGTGAGTTACTTGGAGCTGTGATGACGGCCTGGCTCAAGAAGCAGGGCATTCAGAGGGAGCTGACCACGGCTTACACCCCGCAGTCCAACGGTGTAGCAGAACGGGCGAACCGGACCATTCTGGAGACAGCTAGGGCGCTGCTCATAGAATTGGGGGTGGGTAATTCCATGTGGCCCCATGCTGTCCGGCACGCTACCGTGGCTAGGAACAGGGTGCTCACTAAGGTTGGTGATGAATCGTGGGTGCTGCTAGAGAGGTGGCTTGGGAGGAAGCCGCCGGTGGACATGCTGAGGGTGTTCGGTTGCATGGCAGTCGCCCACGTCCCCAAGAAGTATCGAAGTAAGTTGGGGGCGAGTGCAATCTGGTGTGTGCATTTGGGGCTGGCTGCTGGGAGCAAGGGATGGCTGCTGTGGGAACCACGCAAGGGTGTGTTTGTTTGACAGCAGGGATGTGAAGTTTGTTGAGGGCACGATGATTGGGAGCTGGGAGAAACAGCCGGAGGCCAGGGTGTCCCAGCGGATGGAGCAGATCACCATGCAGCTGGACCTGACTCCTAGTGCGTGGGAGGAGGGAGAGGAGGCAGCTGCAGAGGGTGGTGATGGAGAGAAGGTGCAGGAGGCACCTGCTGGTGGAGGAGATGATGTGGAGACTAGCGGTAGCACTAGGGAAGCTGCTGGATCTGAGGGAGGAGAACAACAGCACGGCAAAGCTAAGGTGCCTAAG